ACTCTGCAGTGAGATGGGTGGTGGCAAATTTGAAAAATAAATAAATAAATAAATAAATAAATAAGATTGCTTCCCAGATATCAGCTTAACAGTACAGGTGGACCTCACCTAATGACCACTCATTCAGCAACTGTTGGAACTTACAACGGCGCTGAAAGAGGGAGACTTACAAATGGACCTCAAAGTTCTGGCCGTCACAGAATTACTTAAGTCGCGTGACTGCTGTCTGCAACCTTCACTGCCGGCTTCCAACAAGCAAAATCAATGGGGAAGCCAGTAGGAGGTCGCAATGGTGATCACATGACAATGTGCTTAATGGCAGCGCAGGATTCACCTATCGACAGCAACCAGAAGTGTCAGTCTAAGCAGTGTGGTCATGTGACATCGTGCACTACGACTGCGTTGCTTAATGACAGAAATTCCAGTCCCAGTTACCGTTGTTAACTGAGGACTACCTGTACACTCAAAATTGGCAATGAACTTTGGAGGACCCAAGATTTTAGGGACTCCCAAGGACTTCAAAGGCCTTGAGGTGTGGGTTACTTTGCCATAGGTCCTGTTCACCCAGCAGGTCAAACCTCTCCTGCCCACACAACTAATCTAATCTGAATCAATTTCAGCCCACAATAGACAGAATTACTGGGAGCTAAAGAAACTCTCTTAGTCAGCCCTCTCATCCAAATAGTTATGGGCAGGGGTCTTATCTAGCCCCCCCCTTTTCAAAGGGGGGGGCTCTACGAAGAGAGAGCTTCTCTAGAAACTCTGACTACGTTGTGGTTTTAGATTGCATTCCCACATGGGGGGGGGAGTGAAAAAGAGGCAGGAAGTGGGGGAACCCTCCTTCAACCATGCCAATAGTGTCCTCAAGGGAGAGATTGCTCTCTCTTGCAGCAATAGCCTCCAGCCTCCTTTCCTAGACTTAGACTTAGACCTAAACTCAGTGCCTAGACATAGAAAATAGTTGCCTCTTCTTGACTGGGCCACTGGAGACTGTGTGTTCCTGATGTAAGAAGGCAGCTGTTAACCACGACAGCAGCAAACCAAGTCAACCACGATGCACAGAGCTGCAGAGGCACACCCAAATGGATAGGAAGAGCAGGGTGTTAGAGCTTGCAGTCAGAGCAGAAACCACGGACAGAACAAAGAGCGATGCTAAAATATGCCATTCAGACTTTGGGCTGAGTAACTACTCACATCTATTCCGGGCTTTCCCGAAGCTCCATTTGGTCCTGGCAGGCCTGGGTCTCCTTTGGTCCCCTGTTGCAAAGAAATGGTGAAGACATTAAACGTCTCCTCAGAAAGTTCAAGGAGAGGCAAGTGCCTCATACTGGGCACTTCTGTGAAAGATTTAAAGTGCCATTCTTCAACTTGGTGTCCTCCAGATAGGTTGGGACATCCAATCCTGAATTTGGCCATGCTGGATGGGAATGATGGAATTAATAGTCCCAACGTATCTGGAGGACACCCATCTGGGGAAGGGCAAGTTAGACCATCCAAAGCTCAAACTCCCCCATTCCCCAAATGAAAGTATAGTACTCTAGTTGCCCACCAAGGGTGTCCTCAAAATATGCTATTTTTGCAATGCCTAGCAAAGGCCTATTCCCTGAAAATAGCTGCAGAACTCATACTGCACTTCTGCCCCATGCCCTAAGCCTTGCCTATTAACGTAGGCACAACACATCTCCAGATCATTGCTGGCAAGGTCAGCATACTTACAGGACTGCCTGCTGCACCGGGTGGACCTTTATCACCCTAAGGAGAAACAAGAACAGCCATTATCAATCGGTTTGACAGATTTTCAGCCCCCTTTTAGGAAGTTGCCCTTACAAAGCATTTGGTAGAGCAGCCATAGATCTCCTTCCAAGAAAAGAATCCAGGAGAAATTGTTTTCGAATTAGATGTCCCTGCACCAGCTTAGCGATGTGTGGAACAAGGTGGGAGTGCAAAGGTGTCTTTCATGGCACCATCTTCTCTCCAGGGACCTCCAGCCTCTCTGGCTTCCCATCCTTCCATTCAACCCCAAGGGAGGTCTTCTTCTGAGCCCTTTGCAGACTGGAAAGGCTGGACAGCCAGGGAGGCTGTTTGGGGATGGAGAATGCACCACAGAAAACAATAATGTCAACCATTAGGCCCTCCCCCACCCCCAAGAATAAAGCAGACTCCAAAACTGGTCTCCAATAAATCCAAACTCAAGCACCCTGGGAATACGTTAGGAAAACGGAACCTTTGAGGGACACTTTGGAGGAACCATCCATGTTTGAGAACCATGTTGGTATTATAACCCCCTCTATCATATAGAAATGAGGTATTTTGGGAGAGAAAAATAGATCCTCCTGATCAAGGTAACCAAAAATGTTTGGGGAGGGTGGCTCAAAGCAATGCCCAGGGCAGTAAAACCCCAGAGCTGGTCCCTCCTTAGTACTTTGAGGCCTCTGGCTTCTGCATTTTTACCTACTGGGGGTTTCCCTAAGCCCTTTCCATGCATGTGTTTGTGCAATAAGGACTAGAAACTTGCCCTTCCAAAGACATTGAAATCCAGAGTTTCCACATTTCTCTAGTTCAGTCCAGATACCAATTACTGTATGACTTTGCAGGGCAAGACTGCAATTACAGAGACACAGAAAACCCTGTGTCATGTTCATCATGTTACGTTGCTAAGAAAGGAGAGGAGGATTATCTTAGACTCCAACCCTCCTTAGACTGAGGCCGCAGGTTACAAGTTCCATCTCCAAGTTACCAACCAAACTGGTTCAATTTTATTTTCCCACCCCATTCCTCCCTCTCCCCCCACTCCTTCTTCCTAAAGTAACCAGCATGAACATCTTCCCATAGCCCCTGAATCTGTTCTACCTCCCCTTGGGAAAAAATTAACACTTCCACCTAAAAACCAGTGAATGAACGCTGCCGAAGGAGCGTTCTCCTTCTCCTGCCCTCACATTTGCTGCAAAACACCCTACAAAAGTCCCAGCACAGGGGAGGGAATGCTGGCCTTGGAGGGTTTTGCAGATGAAGCCAGTTGGGGGTGGGGGGAGCCAGCAGCAGCCCCTCCCTCCCTCCCTCCCTGCAACCTTGGGCCACCCTGGAGACGCCGCGCGTTTCCCTGGACATACAATGACCGCCTTTGTGCACAGAGGTGTCCTCCCTGCTTGCTCTGGCTCCCGAGCTCAAGCGGTGGACTCACATCAATGCCGTCTGCTCCTGGCACACCGGGCGGACCTGGGGGGCCCCGCGGTCCAGGTTCTCCTGGCGGACCTTGCTAAGGAAAGAAAGCACAAGCATGATTTGGTGGAGGAAAAGAACCCCAGGTAAACGGAAGAGCTGAACGGGTTGCGTTTCCCCCACAGTGGCAGAGTGAGAAAAAAGGAACAGAACACAGAGTGGTGGAAAGGATCCTCTGGATTCCTGGGACCTTTTCCCTGGGAATGGCAGTCTATCGGGCTGCGCAAGGATCAGGACTGGAGGGCCAACTGTGGCACGGAGTGCGCACCCAGCACCGGTGGGGAACCCCTGAGGCCAAAGACATCTTGAATTTGGATCTCAGCGCAGCCCTAACGTCTGAGGTGGCACCAGAGGTCAGAAGAGGTTCTTCAGAGCCTGGTTGGATCATTCCATGCCGCTGGCCTGAAAACAGGAGACTCTTGTGATTCACCAACTCTTGAGTAAGCCACAGTGGCCGAGAAGAGGCTGGAGAAGCCCTGCTTGATGTTGAAAATCATAGGGAGAGTCCCAGGAAGGGACAACTCATGGCTTGAGGGTCCCAACCAGATCCTTTGTGTACTCCCTAGGGTAGTGTTTCTCAACCTTGGCAACTTTAAGATGGGTGGGCTTCAACTCCCAGAATTCCCCAGCCAACCCTGCTGGCTGGGGGAATCTTGGAGGTGGAAGCCACCCATCTTTAAGAT